TGCTATGTATACCTTACCATGCTCCGGTGACAGCATAGATATCGATGTGTATAATACATACTAAACTATTACTTAAACATGTGACACACAATCATTCGGTTCTGTAGCCATCTATGTAATGTACCCATCAGATGCGTGTCTTTTATGTGTGCAAAAACAAAGCCAAATTTTACAATGGTCTTTTACGGCGCCGACTTTCAAGTGTCCAAATCTCCGGTGGCGTCTATCACGAACCAAGTTGCTGCAAAATCGACGGTAAACGATGCAGCTAGAAGGACATCAAATATACGTAATTTTGCTGCAGAGATAAAGCGACGTCTGGAGTCGCCAATGGGTCCAGGGTGGCACATTCTTGTAGGCAGGGACTTTGCCGTCGATCTTCGCTACGTACGCATATGTGTTTGTCATCACTGAGAAACGAATCATCGTTTTAAGCTATGAGATCTTACCTTTTGCTTGTATATGTTAATACTATAGCGCAAAGGAACATGTGTACTATTGTTTAGCAAGGCGAGCAAGATGAAGGTGTTGTTGTACCGCACGACACCTTCTGTGTCTCCTCAACCTAAGTTGGAGCACGAAGCACTGACGAAGACGAGTGAAACACTTACTACGAAGCGAAAAGTCGTGATTTATGAAAGTAACGTGGGGTGCGAGATGAAGAACGTGGTGGTCGATAAGGTCACGCGACTCTACAACTTTTACGAAGGAGTTCAAGACAAAGAGGCCAAGATCGCTCAAGCTCTAAAGGTGAATCTAACTAGCTGTTTGTGTGAATGATAATACGAGAGTCTATGGTGAACCAATCAGTTTTTGCACTGTAACTAACCATATGCACTGATTGCTACAGCACTCGATGACGTTCACTTACGGTCGAACGTGGCAAATTATAGTGTCTTCATCATCTGAATTATGCTGTCTACCTATTTGTGACGAGGGCTCGCACGCGCATATGTCTGTAGCAAAGCTGCGAGTTGTGCTTTACCGTCATGCCGGCACCAGTTTTGACCGTCAGTTGGACTTTGCGCAGTTTGGCAAGCGTGTTGCCTTCGTTCTGGCTACGATATGTTTGCTGCTCTACAGCTTTCTGTCGCTTAGCTCGTCGGAGGCGATTCAACGTTGCAAGGAGAGTGAGAAGGGTGTTAATGAGGATATTATGGTAGATGGCGTTGTTTTTCCTGAAGGCTGCTTGGTCGAGGACGTCAAACGCGCGAATGATCACGCGTGGTGGAAGACTGCTGCAATTGTGGGCATGTCGGCATTCACGATGATTGCGTCGCTAATTCGCATGTACACCAAGTCGCTGACCGCAAAGGCCAAACGTTCATAAAGCAAATTGAACAGTGCTATGGTTTACACCTGCTTGGACGCGGGTGATATGGACGTGAACTGGAGAAGCTTGCTTTGTAATTAGAGTATTGTGCTTAGGTGCAGGATCCATTAAGCTAGCGATGATGACAAAGTGGTCAATTAGCGTCCGGACGTGACTGTCGATAATCGCACACTTTTGTTGTGATTGCATCGCAGGCGATATACCGATGAATGAATGGACTGCTGGTGGCAAATAAGTCGGCCAATGGAGTGATATATGCGCGAAGCATTGGCCGAGTGGTCGCCAACATTGCTTAGGAAGGGTAGATTACCCCTGATCATAGCGCAGAGTCGGCCGAACATAGTAAAGCAATCATTGCCGTGACATGGTGCAAAGAAGACTTGAACATTGACAGCAGCATTTCTTTAGACTAAAAGCACAAGCAGCCGCAACGGGTCTGGACCAACAGATCCAGCAAAAGATGAAGCCACGTAATTTTCTCAGCACGTATTACCACCGTGATCGGCAATTTGTTAACGTACATCAGCTCAATCTCATTCAGACCTAAGACGGCATTGCAGTTGATAAGGAAGTTATATGGCTCAAAAAGAAGATCATTGACGTCCACAATCTTGTATAGAATAGGTTCGACAGGCGTAGATATCGTGATTACCTCTCCCAATGTGTTGTCTTTCTGAGCTGCATTTGACGAAATATATATTGTATGGCCCACATCTTCGCAGCTTGTTGTCCATTTCCTGTTACATTGCATGGTATCGCAGCTTTTCTACTTCTTCGCTCCCTTTGTCCGTCCGTGTCGATCGTCCTTGAGCGCAACATTTCAGTCAAATTTCATATCACGAACGTCAACATGTAGTCGTTGCAAAATTGTATAATTGATAACAAACAGGTTGCCCTTGGACTGTCGGCGCTGCACCTATATTCTTTGCAACATTTATCTTGCCATTCTCTGCAAACTGAACTTTTTACAGCCGTTCATTACGCACAATAGTGAAGAGTCTGCATCTCTCATGGTCCATTATAATAATAAACGGTCTATCTCCAAAGAGATAGACACGATACTGTGCCGGTTGGAAAGAAGAGACTTATCTTGCACCGAATGGTTACGTAAGCTACTCGCAGCTAACGCGATTGGTAGCATAGACGCCCTCTGCGCCGTCAATGTCATATTTTGCATCAGCGTGAACTCGGTGGCAAAGCCACTCGCATCGCGAACCGATATTCATCGTAGTTGCGCGAGGACTTGTATAATTGATTATGCTGCAAAGTGAAGGCACTTACTTTCTCCAAATACGTTGACTGCCGTTGAGGGAATAAATAATAGGAATCGCTGCAGCAACTACAAAAACGACAGATTGAGACTTTGACAGACGTTGACCAAGATGATAGAGATCACAGTTTGTGCAGAACTTAGCAGTTCTCAGCAGCCTGCCAAACCGCTTTCTACATTTTCAGGCAGTGCACGCTCTTACTGAAAGTAGAAAAAGAAGCTGGGAACTCAAACTGCTAACCAATCCGTCAAGAACTAAACACGTAAGGCATTGCTGCTCTGGTATGACTGTTTCGTCAAACTCGACTCCAGCGCGATATGACGTGTGCCTTGAATACCTCACTACTAATTCTTTAATACCATCTTAGCCACGTAGATGGACACTTGTTCAATAAAACAAATCCTGCTGCTTGTCGTCTCATCATTAGCTCAAAATTCGACGGAGTCGCGGCGGTCAAAAGTGACAATATCCCCCCTGATCTGCCCTCTCGGCGTCATTGCACAATCATTCCCGCTGTTTTGCCGTTTAAAATCAAGACCACTTGACCCAAAACGCTCCGTGTCTTCAAAGCGGCCGGAAGAGTAGTCGCTGCCAATGGAGCGGCTGGAACCGTGTGTAAGGACGGCTCCAAGCACCGTTGACTTGACGCTTTTGAATGCCTCAAAATCAAGTGTTTCGTAGCTTTGACCACTATAGAGAGAAGAAGAAGGTGACGAGAGCAGCGAGTTTGACAACGCCGATGAGTTCAGAGACGAAACATTGCCTGCTACTAATCTTGAACGTCGTGTCGGTCCCCAAGCGTACGAATCCTCAGCTTTTGACGCTCCAGGCGCGACATAGGTACTCAATGGACCTCCTGTTTTACCTAGCAAATACGGGCGATCGGTCGGTCCCACACTAATGCGTGAAGACATTGTATCGTTCGTGTCCGTCCACCACACATCATTGATTCGAGACTGCATCGTACTTCCCAAAGCTTTAGATTCCACGTCAGCACTCGCTGGAGCTTCTGATGGACTGGGTGGTGATGTTCGTGTGTATGTTGCCACGACTACAGGCGCTGGGATCTGCTCAATAGCACCGTTGACAGCTGCCTGGTTTTGCAATCGAACTCCATTTTTCTGGTTGACTATCAAGCTCTTGGAAGCTAATGGAGACGTAACCGATATAAATGGAACTTCATCAGTATTCCCACCTGTCGGATACGGGTCATCAAATCGCATACTATCCGGGTACTGAGAGCTCGTATGGGCATCGTAGCCAAAGGTGCTGAGCGCCGTGAATTTGTCACTACGATTTGATGGACTATGAATTTGGCCAGCAATAGCATTTGCCACGTTGGTAATGCCTGGTACCACTTGACGTAACCCCGTCTGTAGAGAAGGGTACGGTATGACAAGTTGTCGGGTATGCAACTGTGAGGGTCCATTATTAGCATCTACTTGTGGTCCAAGTTTTTTGGAGTTTGGTGGTGGCGTGAAAGGTACAATAGTAACCTGTTTCGAATAACCATAAGCAGCCGGTTGGTGTTCCTTTCTGAACCCATGATCGTTGGCAAATGTAACGTCTCGAGTCCGTTGAGCTTGTTGGTAGCGCTGCTGCTGCTGTTCTACGGCACGCTCGTGTTCCTGTGTGAAGTGTTCACAGGTCTGTACTGCAGCACGATTGTCTTCGTTATCTTTACGCTTGGCACATTGCATGCATACGTAGTAGCAGACTAGCAACAAGAGGATGAGGAGTATTACGCAGCCGATGATCAACCACCAGAACCAGTCGTCCCATCCAAACACGCCGTTAAATACCGATTGGCCATTTACCATTGTGAAAAAAGAAGAAGGATGAAGGTTGCAGTGTTCTATCTAGAGAGAATCTACAAGTGGCAAGTGAGAAAAGAAGAACGGTTTCCTCTGTCGAAGACCTTCCGTTGCAGTAAATGCGCAACATGAGAATGGGCATTTACTGGAAATTGGGGTATGACGATGTGGTTAGAGAGACCATTCATATGTGAGCATTGTGATTGGTGTAGTATGATCAAGCACTATGCCTTAGACGAGTACGTATTCTGTTTAAACATGAACTCCTAAGAGCATGAAACCATAATCAGATCATGAAAATTCACACAATTGCGCACTTTATTTAGTTGGTGGGTGTATTGACCGACCGACTTGGTGCTTACGTGACTGTTACGACTTAGTAACTTGAACGGCAAGTCAAGATTGATGTCACGGACTATATTGTGGACACATTTCCGAAGATGAAGTTGTCTTTAGAAAGATGTCATTTTATTGTGTACAAAGGAGACGATTTGGTTTGTTTTGGCTAGGCTCTTTTCTGCGTTTGATGTTTCTTCGATAATAGCATGACGGCACATTTTAATGCCATTAAGGCTAACGCGCTTATTGCCAGACCTTTTTGGGTTTCCAGTGAAAGTTCTCGTACAGACGCAGCAAATTGCGTTCCAGCATGGCCACCGTGACCTTGCCTACAAGAGGCACGTACTTTACGCCCTTGATCTTTAGCAACTCAGCCTCGTCAACATTCTTGAACGACGCGACGTTGATGACCACCGTGTCCTCATTCACCCACTCAAGCGGCAGTTTGTAGCTCTTCACCGGTACGCCAGTAATAATAACATGGGACTTCTTACACGCCGTCTCCTGCGTCTCCTCGCTAGGAATGAGTTTGCCGCGACGGAAAAGATAGAGTGAGTCAATGTCGGCGCTATACACGTCGGCACCATCGTTGGCAAGCATAGCAGCCAGCGGACGTCCCACGATGTCACTGCGGTTAATTATTGTGACGTTGATACCCTCCAAGTGGTTGCCACTAGGTCTCGACTTGTCGTAGATGCCAATATGCTCCAAAATCTTGACAATAGCCAAAGGCGTGCAAGGCAGCACGCACTTTTGCGTTTTCTCATCGTCTACGTATCGAATGTTGCGGTACAGATTACCTCGGTAGAATTGGCACAATCCTTCCACATCTTTCTTGATGCTGATGCTGTCACGCAGAAAGTCGTCCATGGTGCCGCCAAAGAAGCTCGGAAAGGGACCGAAACACGGGTAATACACCAGAATACCATGCACATCTGGATCATGATTGGCATTTTCCAAAGCCTCAAGAAGTTCGTCCTTGGGCACTTCACGCAGCTCGTAACGGATCCCGTCGCGTGCACAGGCCTTACCCGTCCACTCAGCGTACTTTTTGGCGGCAGGGTCACCGTGAGCGAGCAGACCCAAGAGCTTGGGACCTACACCACCCATATCATTCTTAATGTATTCGTGCACAGCGGAGCTGAAGGGTTCAGCGATGGTCGAAGCGTTGATTTTTACGCCTGGAGCAGTAGCAGTAGCGTCAGTCATTTCTGCACTTCTTTGGTGGTGGTTTGACATCGTTTTCGAAAGATGGCTTCAAGACGGTTCGTCGGTAACCGATGTACCGAAGTTGGGGTACATGTACCTCAAATTTTCTATCGTAAATGTGCCCTGCCATGTTCGACAAGGTAAAATATTTGACCTAAGGTGCTACAAGGAAGCAAAACATTAAGCGTGACAATATGAAGAGAATCAAACATATTGAATCATAAGTAATAGCAATTAGTTTAATCTAGCGTTAACATAATATTAATCTCCCTTTGGCATATGTCAATAAAAAATCAATGCTGCACAAATGATTTCATATGAATTAACTATAGGTTTTCAATTCTTTCCCTTTTGTGCTGTAACTTCCTTCAACTGCAACAGATATTGCCACCAGTCTTTGCTGCAAATTCCTTTGTAATTCATCATTGAGGCAATACACTCACCCGTTATACACCGGTAGTATTTCTTAGACGGCTGGACATTCATGCGTCAACCAATCGTATGAAGCTCCGTCTTCAATGCTGCCAAACGTCAGCTCGTTTGAAAGATAGCTTTGTCATTTTTAAGAATACTGCAGCAAAAAAGCAAGAAAGAAATCTAGCAGAAAAAAGCTATTGCAAACTATTTGCGATAGTTAAGCAAGCAACGACACAGCTTCATAGCGTAAGATGTTGTCATATCGACAAGAAAATAAAAAGGTGGATATGCAGTGTATCCAGTGTCCCCTGCATTTTTTATCGTGACAGAAAAAAACATTATTAAATACAAGAAATTTAGCAAGTCAATTAATTACCTAAGCGCTACGCAATGCGGTTTTGTTTTCTCGGTTTCTAAGTCGTAACAGTCACATAAGCACCAAGTCGGTCGGTCAATACACCCACCAACTAAATAAAGTGCGCAATTGTGTGAATTTTCATGATCTGATTATGGTTTCATGCTCTTAGGAGTTCATGTTTAAACAGAATACGTACTCGTCTAAGGCATAGTGCTTGATCATACTACACCAATCACAATGCTCACATATGAATGGTCTCTCTAACCACATCGTCATACCCCAATTTCCAGTAAATGCCCATTCTCATGTTGCGCATTTACTGCAACGGAAGGTCTTCGACAGAGGAAACCGTTCTTCTTTTCTCACTTGCCACTTGTAGATTCTCTCTAGATAGAACACTGCAACCTTCATCCTTCTTCTTTTTTCACAATGGTAAATGGCCAATCGGTATTTAACGGCGTGTTTGGATGGGACGACTGGTTCTGGTGGTTGATCATCGGCTGCGTAATACTCCTCATCCTCTTGTTGCTAGTCTGCTACTACGTATGCATGCAATGTGCCAAGCGTAAAGATAACGAAGACAATCGTGCTGCAGTACAGACCTGTGAACACTTCACACAGGAACACGAGCGTGCCGTAGAACAGCAGCAGCAGCGCTACCAACAAGCTCAACGGACTCGAGACGTTACATTTGCCAACGATCATGGGTTCAGAAAGGAACACCAACCGGCTGCTTATGGTTATTCGAAACAGGTTACTATTGTACCTTTCACGCCACCACCAAACTCCAAAAAACTTGGACCACAAGTAGATGCTAATAATGGACCCTCACAGTTGCATACCCGACAACTTGTCATACCGTACCCTTCTCTACAGACGGGGTTACGTCAAGTGGTACCAGGCATTACCAACGTGGCAAATGCTATTGCTGGCCAAATTCATAGTCCATCAAATCGTAGTGACAAATTCACGGCGCTCAGCACCTTTGGCTACGATGCCCATACGAGCTCTCAGTACCCGGATAGTATGCGATTTGATGACCCGTATCCGACAGGTGGGAATACTGATGAAGTTCCATTTATATCGGTTACGTCTCCATTAGCTTCCAAGAGCTTGATAGTCAACCAGAAAAATGGAGTTCGATTGCAAAACCAGGCAGCTGTCAACGGTGCTATTGAGCAGATCCCAGCGCCTGTAGTCGTGGCAACATACACACGAACATCACCACCCAGTCCATCAGAAGCTCCAGCGAGTGCTGACGTGGAATCTAAAGCTTTGGGAAGTACGATGCAGTCTCGAATCAATGATGTGTGGTGGACGGACACGAACGATACAATGTCTTCACGCATTAGTGTGGGACCGACCGATCGCCCGTATTTGCTAGGTAAAACAGGAGGTCCATTGAGTACCTATGTCGCGCCTGGAGCGTCAAAAGCTGAGGATTCGTACGCTTGGGGACCGACACGACGTTCAAGATTAGTAGCAGGCAATGTTTCGTCTCTGAACTCATCGGCGTTGTCAAACTCGCTGCTCTCGTCACCTTCTTCTTCTCTCTATAGTGGTCAAAGCTACGAAACACTTGATTTTGAGGCATTCAAAAGCGTCAAGTCAACGGTGCTTGGAGCCGTCCTTACACACGGTTCCAGCCGCTCCATTGGCAGCGACTACTCTTCCGGCCGCTTTGAAGACACGGAGCGTTTTGGGTCAAGTGGTCTTGATTTTAAACGGCAAAACAGCGGGAATGATTGTGCAATGACGCCGAGAGGGCAGATCAGGGGGGATATTGTCACTTTTGACCGCCGCGACTCCGTCGAATTTTGAGCTAATGATGAGACGACAAGCAGCAGGATTTGTTTTATTGAACAAGTGTCCATCTACGTGGCTAAGATGGTATTAAAGAATTAGTAGTGAGGTATTCAAGGCACACGTCATATCGCGCTGGAGTCGAGTTTGACGAAACAGTCATACCAGAGCAGCAATGCCTTACGTGTTTAGTTCTTGACGGATTGGTTAGCAGTTTGAGTTCCCAGCTTCTTTTTCTACTTTCAGTAAGAGCGTGCACTGCCTGAAAATGTAGAAAGCGGTTTGGCAGGCTGCTGAGAACTGCTAAGTTCTGCACAAACTGTGATCTCTATCATCTTGGTCAACGTCTGTCAAAGTCTCAATCTGTCGTTTTTGTAGTTGCTGCAGCGATTCCTATTATTTATTCCCTCAACGGCAGTCAACGTATTTGGAGAAAGTAAGTGCCTTCACTTTGCAGCATAATCAATTATACAAGTCCTCGCGCAACTACGATGAATAGCGGTTTGCGATGCGAGTGGCTTTGCCACCGAGTTCACGCTGGTGCAAAATATGACATTGACGGCGCAGAGGGCGTCTATGCTATCAATCGCGTTAGCTGCGAGTAGCTTACGTAACCATTCGGTGCAAGATAAGTCTCTTCTTTCCAGACCGGCACAGTATCGTGTCTATCTCTTTGGAGATAGACCGTTTATTATTATAATGGACCATGAGAGATGCAGACTCTTCACTATTGTGCGTAATGAACGGCTGTAAAAAGTTCAGTTTGCAGAGAATGGCAAGATAAATGTTGCAAAGAATATAGGTGCAGCGCCGACAGTCCAAGGGCAACCTGTTTGTTATCAATTATACAATTTTGCAACGACTACATGTTGACGTTCGTGATATGAAATTTGACTGAAATGTTGCGCTCAAGGACGATCGACACGGACGGACAAAGGGAGCGAAGAAGTAGAAAAGCTGCGATACCATGCAATGTAACAGGAAATGGACAACAAGCTGCGAAGATGTGGGCCATACAATATATATTTCGTCAAATGCAGCTCAGAAAGACAACACATTGGGAGAGGTAATCACGATATCTACGCCTGTCGAACCTATTCTATACAAGATTGTGGACGTCAATGATCTTCTTTTTGAGCCATATAACTTCCTTATCAACTGCAATGCCGTCTTAGGTCTGAATGAGATTGAGCTGATGTACGTTAACAAATTGCCGATCACGGTGGTAATACGTGCTGAGAAAATTACGTGGCTTCATCTTTTGCTGGATCTGTTGGTCCAGACCCGTTGCGGCTGCTTGTGCTTTTAGTCTAAAGAAATGCTGCTGTCAATGTTCAAGTCTTCTTTGCACCATGTCACGGCAATGATTGCTTTACTATGTTCGGCCGACTCTGCGCTATGATCAGGGGTAATCTACCCTTCCTAAGCAATGTTGGCGACCACTCGGCCAATGCTTCGCGCATATATCACTCCATTGGCCGACTTATTTGCCACCAGCAGTCCATTCATTCATCGGTATATCGCCTGCGATGCAATCACAACAAAAGTGTGCGATTATCGACAGTCACGTCCGGACGCTAATTGACCACTTTGTCATCATCGCTAGCTTAATGGATCCTGCACCTAAGCACAATACTCTAATTACAAAGCAAGCTTCTCCAGTTCACGTCCATATCACCCGCGTCCAAGCAGGTGTAAACCATAGCACTGTTCAATTTGCTTTATGAACGTTTGGCCTTTGCGGTCAGCGACTTGGTGTACATGCGAATTAGCGACGCAATCATCGTGAATGCCGACATGCCCACAATTGCAGCAGTCTTCCACCACGCGTGATCATTCGCGCGTTTGACGTCCTCGACCAAGCAGCCTTCAGGAAAAACAACGCCATCTACCATAATATCCTCATTAACACCCTTCTCACTCTCCTTGCAACGTTGAATCGCCTCCGACGAGCTAAGCGACAGAAAGCTGTAGAGCAGCAAACATATCGTAGCCAGAACGAAGGCAACACGCTTGCCAAACTGCGCAAAGTCCAACTGACGGTCAAAACTGGTGCCGGCATGACGGTAAAGCACAACTCGCAGCTTTGCTACAGACATATGCGCGTGCGAGCCCTCGTCACAAATAGGTAGACAGCATAATTCAGATGATGAAGACACTATAATTTGCCACGTTCGACCGTAAGTGAACGTCATCGAGTGCTGTAGCAATCAGTGCATATGGTTAGTTACAGTGCAAAAACTGATTGGTTCACCATAGACTCTCGTATTATCATTCACACAAACAGCTAGTTAGATTCACCTTTAGAGCTTGAGCGATCTTGGCCTCTTTGTCTTGAACTCCTTCGTAAAAGTTGTAGAGTCGCGTGACCTTATCGACCACCACGTTCTTCATCTCGCACCCCACGTTACTTTCATAAATC